ATAAATGTGAACATGTGATTTCTGTCTTTCACAGTTAAAGGAATACTTATTTAGATCTTTACTTAAAGGTGCAGTGTGTAAGATCTAGAAGGATCTGTTAGCAGAAATGGAATCAGAATCAGCTTTACTGACCAGGTGCACTGGACACAAGGAATTTGACTCTGGTACAGCGGCTCTCAATAGCTTAGAACGAGCCATTTATATGCACAGTACATAGGAGCAGGTCCCGTATCATGGAGGCCACCGTGTTGAACCACCATGTTTGTTACAGACAAACTACACACTGGCTCTAGAACATGAATTTCATGCTTTCACATTGAAGTTGCAGCTTGGATTTGGAGATTTGGAAGACAAAGTAGTAATATTAGAAACACAAAGAGGCATTGTTGTGAGTTTAAGAACTATAATTTGAAGAAATGGAGGAGTATTACTTAAACACAAGAAAAAAAAAGATGGCGAGAATCCCCAGTGTCACAGCCACTGCTGAGTATGTGAGCCACCTTTAGTCTTTGCTTGGTCCAGTCAGCCACACTTGTTTTCTGAGTGTATACTGTAATTTGTCTTACATTCAGGGCTGGTGCAAGTCTTTATGGGAACCTAAACAAAATTTGATTTGGGGGCCTTTCAGTGCCTCTTCGCCACCAATACGATTAACTAGTGTCAATGCACAATCATTCACACACTACTGTAAATCTGACACACCCATTATCAATTATATTAACTGTAGCTGTTTGCTTACATCATATCAATGTCAACCCAGCATGTTTTTACCCTTCTATGGCTTTTAATATTCAAAGGTGGCAAACTCACACAGTCAATGTTTGTGACACTCTGGCTTCAGGAGTAGTTACATTGGAGCTATTTATGGCCAACAACAGCTAGTCCTTGTTTCCAGCATCTCAGACGTCCAGTCCTCATGATGAAGCTATTGGATTTTCACACTTTTCTACCTCAACAAAAACCAAACCAGGTGATTCTTGGCGTAATGGTGGCTAGCTTGCTAGTTAACAGTATACCATGTATAATCAAGACATGTCTCGATGTGTTCAAAGTTGTATTTTCTTCCTTATACTGGAGGTAGCTGTTTCTCCTGGTTTAGACTAATCAACATTGGTAAAAATTCAGTAGAGAACCACTGCAGTCTGAAAGTGGTGGGGCAGAGAGTAGGTTTTTGTTGCGTACCTTGAGTAGATCCATTTAAACACTGCAATAAACTAGCAATTTGAAACTGTGTTATACAGAGATGTGTTTCTGTTATTAAGCCTACTCTCATTGATATTAATGAGGTGGGCAAAATTATATATATATAAAAAAAAAACCATATGCCATACATAATGCCATACAGTTCAACAGCACCACAAACTTCAGCCTGCAAAATGCCCATAATCTAAAACAGTTTCAACATAAACTGAATGAAGAGAGGATGTTTTTGCATGGCTGTTGCAACAAGTAAAAGATGGCTGAGTAGTTTCTAGAGCAGGCACATTCTGAGTCCTTTATTTGAAATTTATCAAGGCCACATTCTGAATAATGCTTTTTTTTATGACTGACAAGTTCTGCCATCACTGACACTCTCAGGTGATTGTATGATTTCTTTGTTTACTCATAGGAGTCAGGAGGTCTGAACAAGCTGCTGGCAGAAAAGCAACTGGCCACAGCAAGGTTTTCAAAGTGAGCACCCCCTGACAGCTTGTTGCAGCATTTTGAATTTTATTTTGATGTTATTCTAAGATTTTCTATTAAAATAAAGTCAGTAATGACATTTTTTGCGTTCTCTTTTTATCTGAAAAACTATCCAAAAGTATCGAAAGTATCGAAATACATTTTGGTACCGGTACCGGTACCAAAATGTTGGTATCGTGACAACACTAGGCCACAGCAAGGTTTTCAAAGTGAGCACCCCCTGACAGCTTGTTGCAGCTCCAGGGTCAGACTTGGGCCTCTGACATTACCTTTTTGACTGAAGCACTTCCCACAGTGCTGACAGATGTGAGGCTTTTCCCCTGTGTGGAGTTTCATGTGGTTCCTCAGAGAACCGGAGTTTGCCAGCAACTTAGAGCAAACTGTACACTGCACCTGGGAGAGAAACCAAAATTGAAAGCAGCATGTCTTTGTTTCCCTCTTCTTAAAAGCCTAAGGTTCAAACTGCTGTTCAGGCAGAAAAAACAAGACCAGCATGCAAATGTAAGGATGCTACGTGAAAGATATAAAAATCTGGCTCAGCTGTGCAAAGACAGAAATGTACTTAGTGACAGTGTTTAAAAGTCTGAAATAGCTGGAGGGAAGGTAAAGCAGCAGAGCGGAAATTTAAACTTTCCTCCTTTGTGATTACAGACTTCAGAAGAAACACTGTACTTTAGAAAAAAAAATAATCGATTTAGAAGTCCTGTCACCGTCCTCCCTATTAAGACAGCAGTAATTTGAAGCCATCACCACAGATGAGTGACCTACATTTACTGTGCTGAGCAAAACACAGTCGTACCTTCGGGGGCTGCATGTAGATCATTCTGCTGCAGTGAAGGAGGCGGTGGATGCGTAGGGAGGGGCGGCGTGCGAATGCCTTGCCACAGTGCTCACAGGTGTAAGGTTTTTCTCCAGTGTGCACGACTAAGTGCTCCTTCAGGTCCCGCTTCAGGCCATAGGTCTTCTCACAGTGAGGACAGGAGAACGGACGCTCCCCGCGGTGACTCATCTAGAAATAATACCAATATCATTACACATAATATGTATTATTACTACTGAAATTGTTGTTCTTCACTGGGATGGGTAAATTGCTACTCTGCATGATGATTCACTTCCTGGCCACCAAGGGAGCAGTGCATAAGGAAAAAACCTCCTCATACCCTGAAAAAAGCCTCTGGTGTTGTATCTTGTGATTCTAACCCATTTAGTTGTCAAGTGGTTTGTTTGTCTTTTGGGGTTTTTTTGCTTGAGAGCTGAGCAAAGAGGAGTCTGATAGCAGGATTTCTTTTTCCAGCTAAAACATCAATGGTAAACATCAGGGTCTGGTGTCGGTGACTCAGAATCAAAGAATAGAATGACTCTTTGTGGAGTCGCTATTTTGCACTTTCACTGAAAAACATACCGGAAGACATCCATTGGAGAAAAAAATATAAGAACTGACAAGGAAAATTGTTACGAGTGTAAACATTGGCAGCGAGAGGAAGGGAGGAGCTGCTGTGGTGAGATAAGAATACAATCTACCTCTCAGTTAATTGGTAAGCCACGATGATAATGATATGGTGAAAAGAATATTAATTTAGCATCAAATTATCTCTATAGTGTATATTTCTTAACTAAATGGATCTTATTAATCAAATTTAACCTCCAGCTTCATAAACATTAAGCCACTATAAGTCAAGGGTAAATAAATGTGTTTTCCCCCTGGTGAAGAATGATGGACTGTCTGCTCATGACTTGTACAACAGATCTGAACCATTTCATTAGTGCCTGAGAGAAAATTCTAACTAGGAGACAATGGCGCAAATTCCCTTAAATGTCTCGTACATAACATACAAATTTCTTCACACAAATGGTTCTTGCATGTGGTCGGTAGGTATGTAGGACTTTATTGATCCTGCAATGGGGAAATTCCTTTGTCCTTTACCCAATACATCAGTAAATGTTTCTTCTTCTTCTTCTTCTTCTTCTTCTTCTTCTTTCGGCTG